AGAAAAACTACTGATATTAAGAATTATCAGTATACTCTATGAATCTCTTCTATCTTATCAGTAAAAAAACAAAACGAAATAAAACAAATTACAATATCGTCACTCCTATTGTACTATATCTTCAAGGTCAGTTGAATAGTGATGTATTTTTATCTAACACTTTAATTAAACAAAAAGAACACCCACTATTTACAACAATAGAAACACAAACGTACAGTTTTTTTCATCACATCTTAAACTGAATATTATCATATCGTAAGGTGTAAAGATGAAATAGCGTAGCTCTTTATTTTGTTCCACCTTAAAAGAAAACGAAGGGAGATTGATTAAGAACAAGTGTAAGACTATTTAAGTAGATCATTATTATATATATAGTCTGTTTACTTGTTTTCATTATTTTTCTTAACAATATATATATGTATTATTTCTTCACTTAACTTATACTATTTTCAATCAGGCTATTTTTATGCTATACTTATAAACTATCCAACACTGAACCAAATAATTCACTCGATATAAGCTCTGATACTGCTACTACTACCAACACTAATAATAATTCACCTTCTTCTTCTTCATCATTTTTCATCACATCCAGTACAAATCTATGGTTAAATGACCTTTTCTGTTTAGCTGCTTATCATTTTGTTACGGATGGTTTATTAAAACCTATTTTGAAATCGGAATCAGAGATACTGTATAATAAACGTCAAGCTGAACGTGATCATTTTCTTGCTTTGATCAAAGATCATTGTGATAAACTAAGTACTACGAATAATAATTCCATTGTTACTACTCCAACTACTACCAATGCAACAAACAATATCAATAGCAGTAGTGGTAGTATTAGTAACAATGATAATTCATTTCCCAATAATAATAATAATATAAAAGTTAGTTCTGACAATTCCTCTATATTTCATCAATTATATACAATAATTAAAAAACAAGTAGCTGACACTTCCTCATAGATCAAATTTATGGCTGTGCTGTTCTTTTTTTGTTGAAAAAACAACAACAAACAAACTGAATCTCAACACTCCTATTCCACACATATTTTTTCCATGTTTATAACTTTAATTTCATCATGTTTAATCTAGCAATAATTATAATAATAATAAAATTGTATTGATATACCAGTGTATATTTGTATTTTGATACCTACATAATTCATAATCGACCTGTGAATGAGTACATATGATTGAGATGGGATCAGAAGGCGAAAGGTCAAAATTGAACCTTTTTTTATTTTCGTATTCATACTGATACTACGAATAATAATACCCTTTATGGTATCAGTACTTAATTGACCATATTTTTGTTATCATTTTTTTTGTTATTGTTGTCGCCATCGCGGTCATTGTTCATTAATGGTTCTGCACTGTTCGTGTTTGTTTTTTTTTGCAATTCATTTTACTTGGCTTCAATGAATTGTCATATGTGTTTTTGTTTCGGTCAGTCATCATTACATTTATTCACTTTCGACATTTTCATTACAGAATATGTATTTTATTATCTGTCAATATGACTGGCCGGATATATGTTAATGTCTATCTGTTGTTAATAAAGACAATTTACTAAGAGAAAGTGATTGGTTTATGAAATGTACTTTTATATGTGATATTATAAATAACTGATTTTCATGAGTGAACAGAAATATTTTAGAATTTCTTTGATGTTCAGTTCTTGAAAATCTTATGTATATAAGTTCCTTAGCTTGATTTGAATGTTGTGTTGACAAGAATTCACTATTCAGTCCTTTAGCAATAATGATATATTGAACACTGCTATCTGGAAATGAAAACAGACATTTTCAAACAATGCTTCAGAATAATTCCTTTAGGTTATAAATTGGATCGGCTTTTAAAATACTAAGCAGTTTAAAATTAGAATTATACTATAATTCCATGCTTATTACTCTTCAATGATTTCTCGTGGATTTCTGTTTGTCTCATTTAAAAGTGGAATTCAATCTTTGTCGGGTGTTAGACAGTTATCCACCACAAGCAATAGATAAGGATTGTGCGAAAATTTGAGTTAGTTGAAACTAGGCATTCACACTTGTGGATCCATACTCATTGACCTAAATGTTAATTGCTCGCGTGCGGGACATTAGATCCTGGATGGGGTTCTAGCGTGCAGAGTCGTGAATGTGCCCTGCTGAGGAGTTCTATACCACTGTTTAATCCAGTGCTTCCAGATTTTCAGCAGTGGCTTAGCTAAGATCAGTTCTTGATTTAAGCTTGGAAAATTCACCACAATTTATCTATACTGATAAAAATCATTGTATCTAACGGTTTCATTGTCATTATATCGTTATATCTCCAGATAAAATAAGACCAATAAAGTAATTGATCTGAAGGACAAAACCTTGCTGACTTTTTAAGGCTGTCAACTGAAAGCGTACACTTATGGAAATTCGTATGCAACTAGTATTTTCGTACATGTTCTCATTGTCTGTGGGAAACCGAAGGTTTATTTTTCATATCTTTCAATGACGAGCCCCTTTTATGTTCGCCACTAAACTAAAACACTAGTAAAGTAATATGCGGAACTATCTACTCAATAGTCAGCATTCGTTGTTAATACTTGCATTCGTTAATAATCATTATCTACTTATGCATTATTTCAGATAAGATGACAGTGACTGTTGGGGATCACTATGCTGATAACTAGGGGTCAAGCTAAATGGAACAGAATGACTGCTAAGTAGTAAATACCAGGTGGTTTAATTTTTTTTGCCTCTATCAGTTTTAAGGGCGATAGTGATTGGTTCAAATTTTGTGAAATAAGTGCTCAACTTGTCCAAATGCACATTTTTTTGTTTTCTGGAATAAATTATTCGATTGGTTATAAACCATTTTTAGCTGCCATCTGATTAGTTGAGCTCAGTGGAGGCCATTTAGTTTTGATTGGATGTCAGTTTGTTTTATATGAAAACTATGTGATTCGAAAATGGTCTAGGTCGTTTCAATAGTTTAGGATAAGAAATTCTTTAAGTTACTTTCGACTAATGATTAGGAGGTGTAACTCTGTAGTAGCCAAAGTTATGCAGAATTTGTAGTTTATGATCTATATAACATAGAGCAGCTGACCATTAACTCTCTGAAGAACGACAGAAATTATGGTATCATCGTGAACGTTTCGCTGTCGATAAAGTCGGAAGAAGTTGGAATTATCATTAAATTCAAGTCGCGTCTCATAAATTAGCACAAAAACTTGTTCTCATTATTTCTTTTGTAACGTCGAAACAAACAACATCCAGCAAAGTATTCAAATTAATTTAATCTACAGGTGCTAGTAGAAGGCACTTCAAGTTATTCACCTTATTTAGCTAATATTCACATAATCCTCCAAGAGAAATTATTTGACTTCTCAGTTTACCATAGATCCCTGGATTTCGTTCATTTAAATGAACACATATTGACGCTATCTTTTGGATGGGGCCGTTTACAAAATTAGAGTTGGACATTGTCTTCTACATCAAATTTTCTGGTGCCTGAAACCAACAGGTGCTTGGAACATTATGACCTCTGCATCAGATTACTTTCTCATCCATGTGTTGTTTTCGTAAGCTAAGGAATTGCACTGATGGTTGTTGTGCAAATTCCTATAAATGGCAATCCAGTATTCTTTCGTCAAAAATGAATCCTGGACAAGTACATCTTACTGAAGACTTACGGAAATAATCCTCTAAAGTTCTTCGAATTATATTCACTAAGGTCGATTTCTGTTTATTTTTGTTGCTCTCTGACCACTTCTCCATCATGCAAACTGAAAGTACGGTTTCTTATCTCGATGGAAATAGAGATTATGAAAGGGGAAACGACGGTACGTTTCCTGAGTACTATTTAACTCCCATTGAGGGAAATGTCACTGAGATACCATACACAAGAATAAAGTTTCCGTGTCTGTGACCACTTTCGGAAATGAATCTAAACTCGAGTCAACTCGATTATTATAACTCTTTCACGCAAAAGGTAATTATCCCAGAAACGATTGTCTTTATATTCATCTTAAAACGATAATAACCAATAATAGTTTTTTTTAGATTATTAATATTTTTGAATAACAAGTCTCAGGAATGTGTAGGGGGAGGGTATGGGGAGTTTTTCACTCATAATGGTGTGGGTATCAATAATAAGATGAGTCACTGTGACGCTATTTTTTTCCATGATAACGGCTACCCTATTATTAATAAGACGACGTTTTTATGATTACTGTTAATCAAACTTGTTTCACAACTTCACAGGCATCCCCATGAACAATTTGGTTTTATGATCAATCACAATTTTCACGTATCCATTTAGATGAACTTAAAATGTAGATCCATACAATCTATTGGGGTTTAATCTGTTCTAACATAAAGTGATATTGGAAATTAGTTAATCTGATGGGGTACAATTTAAAATACTGTTCTGTGACTGGAGTCTGACTGAAACATCTCAACTCGAGTCATGTTTTTCAGATAGTACATTTGGCTAAATGGTGTTAACATGAATCCTGCCACAAAAGATGTACTTATGTTTCAAACATCCAAGCACACATGAGCATTTTTGTGTCCAACTATAAAACGAAACATACGTTCTGGGCTCAACTATTAGATAATATCCATAATACGAATACTAGTCATGGCTTAGTAGTTAGTTACTAATTAGTATCCGAATAACATTTATTATTGGGAACATACATGAACCTACGAATGAGCACCAGTGACGTTGAATTTTCTGAAGAATCTTATCGAAAGTTCTATCAAGCCTCATGTTGACTTTATTTCATTTGACTAACTTGGATAAATGAATTGTTTCAAGTTTATGTCGGTATCTGACACATTCGTTTGATCAGTATTAGGCTAGAGTGGGAGTTGTATGTATTAGGTTGCTTTAAAATAACCTAAAAGATCAGGTGTCAAATTTTTCAGTGTTGACACTCATTCTTCTGTATCATAAATGCTAATGATACAGTAAATGCTAAACTTTGTTTAATACACTATTTTCTCTAATTTTCTGCGCCACACTACCACTTGTTCATCTTTTGTTATCAAAAAATAATTTGCATATTTAGCAACTCTTAAGTGCCCTTGATTGAGAGATTAATTATTTATCTTTTTTTATGTCTGACCAGATCATTATAATACTCCAGTCTGATGGTCAGGCAATATTCCATTCATCCAACAATTGACAAAGGTCAACAGACGTCATTTGTAATTATGAGTCATACATGATCAGCTGATATAGCTTAAATGTCGAGCGCATCATACCACACACATGTCTAGTATAATATATTTATATATATTTGGTCAGAGTTTAACCAATAGGCTAGATGCAAATGGCGTGATTAATATAGGCTTTTCTAGCTCATCTATAGGTCAACTGTTTATTAGTCAAGGTCAATCGTATGTGTATAGGATTAAAATAAGAAACAAACAATCTTTCTTCATTTCTCTTGTGTCTCGTGCCATGTCTGGCCATCTTAGTGGTTTGTTGGATTACGATATGAACCCTGTTACAGCACAGTATATTTTATTTACTTCATTGCAAAAACTTGATCAGGCTAAACGTTCTCGTGGAGGTATTAGACTGCGTCATAGTCTTATGATCACTGTAACTGCACTGAAAGCTAAACAACTTTTATGGGGTCAAAATCAATCAGTTCACGAGAATGAATACCTGTCAAAACCTCGTTTACGTGACGAAGAATATGAGACTGTTCACTTGGCATGTCATGTATATGATCAACCAGTTTCAAATCAAGGACTCAGCGAGTTCACCTATCTCCGCGACTCGAGTAAGTTCTTCTTTTTACTTGTATATCTATGATATGCATGTAGATCATCAACGTTGATGATCTCTGGCCGTAAATATACATGTTTGGATCTTTGTATTTCACTTCATTTTATGTTGCTTGAAAAAAGTAGTCGTAGCTTGGAGCTTGGTATAATTAAACACCTTTTACTCTACTTTTTAGTACAAATACAAAGTGCTTTGTTGATTCCATTTGTCATTTTACGTTGAAATGTATAAAAAATATATTTGCGAACCCAGTATTAAAAGTAGTATGCTTTTCCTCATCAACTTATTATGTGAATGTATTTCACATTTCAATGTTTCTTACAAGAAACTGAAGTCCCTTTCCTGAATATGTTTTTCAACTATTCAGACGATAAACTAATATTTTGTTTTGTATAATTAAAACAATTTTATTTATTTATTTAAACATAAATATTGGTATAATGGGGCATCAGATATATATGCGCCACGCAAATGCCATTTGATTTGTGTGAGGGCTGTGATACTGCCTAGGTGCCCAAACCGAAGCAGGTAGTTTTCCTAGGGGGCCACACCCGGAGCCTTTGACTTGAAGGTCTGATCCACAAGGCAGTGGAACATCATGAGGAGATGCAGTCCCATGATAGCCGGTGACCAACGATTGATTAATACGCCATTTGTTCCCTCAGGAAACTGGAGCCCATGTGAATTATTGGTTTGGAATCAGGGTTTTCCAACTCCCCTAGGTCGACTTTCTATGTCTACCAACCCGGTTAAAGCGCCAGACATTCGCTTTTCGTCCTCTCAATTTCGTAAACAACAGTAATGTCACAAGAATGCAGTGAGTAGGACTTCCCTAGCAGAGGCTATGTACGCGTGGTGATGTGAGAGCATTTCAAGAGGGAGAGCGTACTCTCCCCACTCTCGGCCATACCAGGGCATTTGGGGGCAATTAAAACAATAATGTTAGTCTTATCTCTTATCATCATTATGTTAAATTTTAAATTCCTTTGTTGTATGGTCTAAAATAGGTCATTACATTTGACCTTAGTGACCTTTCTAGAGTAAACTTCTTGATTTTTGTTTGATGATTCATCAAATGCATTTTTATTTTAGATCATAGTTGTGGTTGAATCAGTCAAATACTCATTTTTTCGGTCATTGAGTCTTAGGTTCTAATATCACTATCACTTTGGTTCTTAAAGATCGAATATTACCATCTTTTAAACGAATTTAAGTAATTGATTATTAAGGTCTGTATAAGAAGTGTATGCAAAGCTGGTAGAAACCGGCGCCAGCACTCACTCTCTGTAACGATCCGTTAAAGTAGTCGAATAACTCGTGTATCTGGCTAGTTTTGTGAGTGGTGGTAGTATGACAAAATTAACTACACATAGTAAAAGTCGAAATAGCTTATTCCAATCCGGACCATTTCTGGCATTGTCGTGATAGTATTTTAAAGATTGATTTTAAAACGCGTCGTAAAAACACTTTTGCTCTACTATTGGGAAGCCTGACTTTCGAGTAAGAGATCTTAGGAGACTCCGTGTTTAATCTTGAGTGGTTCGGAAGGATTGCTCACATTCGGTGGTCACCGTTGTAGTAATACTGAGGTTCCAATTTGCGTGTTCGGTTTAAGCGACGATAATTCAATTAGTGTCCGGATCCTGAAGCACCAGCTTCGGTCAGTGGTTTAGATGTTTCACAATTTCCTTTCCAGAGGTTCCCACTATTTTTATGTTCTGCCGACGCTGGACTGTGTGGAGAGAGCGGAAAGCCGATCATTTTCCGACAGTGCTTCAATATGTATAGGACTTGCATCTGTCAGCCCAGCACGGCTCAGCAGTGAGGATCTCAGATTCGGTGCAACTCACTGGCTTGAGACATTGTGGTTTTCCTTTACATGCTCTTTAACATTTGAGTGGACTGTCAACCTAAAACATTCTTCCTGGTTATTTTTGTTAACCGTCCTGCTATTGTACACTATTCGTGTTCGCTCTGGTTATTTATTTATTCCTTCTCTTCTAGCATAAACCGTTTCCCTCCTTTATTTCACAAATTTATTTTGCGTATAGCGTACTGTTCTTGTTATCCAGGTATACTGGATTTCATGTGCATTAAATAAAATTAATAATTTGGCTTGAGTTGGTTATCGTCTAACTTCAGTTCTTGGACTGATATATCCGTTTTTTCACAGTAAAATGATTTGGTTGGTGAATATGTTTGATGCCAAAACATAACTAAATATGGAATAAATAATAATACTTAAATAAGAAAATTGCACCTGAGACCATTCACTGAACAAACTTACATATCGTAAGTCAGTTTCTTGATTCTGTGAACCTACGATAGAGTTATGACTTACATGTTTATATACCGTTCAACCTATTATATACGCGTCATTCAAATTTGAAGTGACGACACGACTAGTGTACTATGACGAAACTCACTGCCCAATCTCCTATTGCTTATTTATATTACTTGTCCGTACTTATGTAATCACAACAAACGTTTGTTGTTTGATCAAAGCTCATATCTTCTGTACTTTATACATTAAACGAGTTGTCATCTTTGTTTTAGCAAGTTTGTTTGGTACTTGCAGAGATAATATTTGTTTCAAACAACAGGAAACTTTCCAGTTGTTACTTTGAATTTACCAGGGTACTACAGTCCAATCTTTACTCAGTACTACCTTCTAATCTTCGACATAATACCATAAAGTATACAGTTTGACACATGTATGTCATTTCCAAGTCTCCATATGAAATTTATTAATTCTTATCAATGTTTTTACTCGATATATCATATAAATTTGTACAATATGAGGTAACGTTTCAATGGTTCTGTTGAACTGACGGGGTTGAAGTTTATTTAGTTGGGTATGAACTCATAAAGCAATGATTGTTAATAGGTATGCAAATCACTACTTATCCTGGCCTACTCTAGAATAACAAAAAATGCATAACTAGACTTCTCCAGTTTTTAAATTTAATAGGTATGATGTTTATATCGTGGTCACTAAGAGTATGAACAAGTTATTGGCTACGTAGACACAGTAGCTTATTGGATAATGCGTGGAGTGTTCAAAGCGAAAGGTACTGAGTTTAAATCCTACTGTAAATATCAATACTGGGATGCAAGCACGTCTATCTAATAAATCCAAAGTTTAGCGAAACACGTCGTGGATCACACTGCTAGCCACACTTCATCTAAAATGACTATTGATACAGTCTGCACATATTCCAACAAAGATTAGTCGAAATTCAATCAATATCAACAACGAGATAACCTAAACCCTTCCTAATGATGATATAACTGTACTGTACAATCCAGTCAACGTTAACCAATAATCAACATAGTCTTGTTTTTATCCATTTAAAAAGTGACTATTACAAATCTATGTGCTTATATTCGAAAATGATCATTTTAAGTTTTCCTATATATTTTCTGGTTTTTAGCTCCTTTGTTTTTTTCACATTTTCTTTCAGATGAACCTTTCTTTCCCCCACCAATAGATGACATGATGGAAATCGACAGTACGGATCTAGCCAATACTCCATCTAAACGATTACGTCAAGACTACACATTCCCTTCATCTCCTTCATCAGTACCATCGTACAATGAACCTTATCTAGTCAGCATTAAATAAACAAAAAAAGTTTCCATCAGAATGTTGATCGAAAGGCTTACCTCCAATATTTTTTCTGTGATACATTTTATAAACCAAGGTCCTTCTTTTTTCTTAATCTTATACTCTGTCTTCAGTATCTATTTTTCACTTCTATGTTCGCATGTTGTGTACAAAACTTGTTTGCGTATGCCAAAAAATAATTATCGACTGCTTGTCAGCCAGAAAAGTAAACATGTACTCCTGAAATGCAGAGTATTATTTTCTAGTTTTCTCTCTTGTTGAACATAATGAAAACACTTTTTGTACAATTTTTCATCAAGTTCTCATTCTTTATCCTGGATATTTTATTCCCAGGCCTTTTTCTTGTATTAGATGACCACTGTACATATTTTTTTCTTGAATATAAAAAAAAATTATCACACTAAAGGTCTTTTTGATTAGGAATAAGTTTTTCAAAGGAGATTTATGGGGATATTGTTTACTACTTTGGATTTCTGACATGTTGCTAAACTTTCCTGTGTATAGTTGATTACCAAATCAATCCACTTAGATTAAATTAAAGCTATATAAAAGATTAATAATTTCTCATGTATGATTTTCTAACAATAGAATCAGCAAAGCTTTTTTGACTTTTCATATTTGCTTGAATGCTATCGGCTTTAATTTACGAGAATTTCTATCTGTTTAGCTTAAGGCTTTACGAATTAAACTTGATATGCTTCTGTAATTCAAAAAAATGTCTAGATCAGTTCTATAGTGTGTGAGTGTGTTTTAAAATAACTGAATGAATTAATTAATAGTTTTCAATCATGCCCGTTCTACGTGTTTCGTTGTTATTCCTTTAAAAACGTGGTATCTTATAACTGTTACTAATCTAGAAATAGCTATTTCTGAATGTGGTAAAAGTAAGGTATATACTAACACTTTTGAGTTAGCCAATCTGTATTAAGGTAGCTCCTTATATATTTGCGCGAAATTTAAAGTGCAGTGATAGATAACATATTATTATTAACTAAGCGACAACTGATCCTTAAAATTCTCAGGATCAAAAATATCTATGATGCAACTATAGTGTGAATTGAAGACGGTGCTTAGGCTAAATGGCAAAACATACCTGCTCCTAAGGAAGATTTTGTGTTAAATACTATAACGTGGTTCAGTGAGTATTCAAGAGTGATTAGTGAAGTTAGATGATATTCTCCCTTTCGAACTCTTCTAAATCACAACCTTAAGTTAGTACACAGAAGAGTGGCAAAACATCACATTATAACCGATGTCGGTTCGTTATAAAAGTCTCAAGCCAACACAAACTTCAGCCTTACTCTGAATGCCTAACCTTTTTAAATTATAACCAATATCATGTAGTGATGATAGTTCTATCGGTGATAACCATAACTCAGAATGCAGTTCCGACTCCTAACATGTAAAATTGAACTTTTCCCTTAACCATAAAGAATAGTTTGGGATGTGAGGGTTAATCATTCAAATCAAAACTGTTATTCTAGTGCTATTTCATTTTTGATTGTTTTGTAACTACTCAGCGTTTCCTGATTGGCTGATAAGTCTCCCAAGGTCGTCAGTGTATTATGCTTTTAACGAATAAGTTAGTCCCTTTGACCAATCTTAGATAACGTGACTAGAAGACCTAAATTCATCAGAACCATGCGATAAATCTCCATGACCGTTGGTGGTTGATGTGAACAGATGTGTATTACCTGCTCTTACCACAATATAGTTGTTTATTCGATTTTTTAACTGATTATACTCACATTCCCCCTTCCCTTGGTTAGAGATCTCTGGTTAGCGACCTATGCCCCACAAGAGGTAGCAAGCGCAATTATATGTAAATATATTCACATTTAATTCACGTTAATTATGTTCCATGATTAGTCTGAATACAAGTGTCCAAATGTATATTATCTAGCATATAGGGACGCAACAACAATTTGCATGTTTACATTTAAGTTATATTCTGAATTTCGATCCCTCAGCTATGATTGCCATGGCTGCCTATTGTGTTCTAATAGCCTTAGATTTAAACCATTTTTTTTCAACAGAGTGGTAGGACACTAAGATTATAGATCTTAATGTTGTACACAATTTTTACAGGTTTGTGAAATTCGGTATGTATCGATTTTGCTGCCAAGGTTTTAACTAATTGCTTGAATTCATATTTTGTATCGCTAGATCCTTGACTAATCCTCGTTTACTTGGGAATGTTATAGTTCCTAAATATCCAATTGTTCTTTCTTTAATATCTCTTTATATGTTACTGAGGAATATTTGAAATTAAAAGTAACCTCCCTACTTAATGAATACAAGGTATCGTACTTACCAAGGAATTCTCGTGTTCACTATATCTATAGTTGTAGTTGTGTATAGTCATCCATCTGACTTTCAAAATAAGAACTATCTTTAGGTTCCACTCAGTTATCTGATAGTGAATCACTTCCTATCCAACAGAACATAAAATCCATATTTCTCTTCATTCAACAATCATTAGTTGACAGTGAATACATTTCCGATTGTATGCTTGATCCATATGGTCTTAATCTAACTAAGTCTTATTATTTTAATTTTAGAATTATTATTAACATTATAGTTAATATGTATTTGAATACAGATATTGTCTTTCATCATTCAAATCAATAAATTGTAATCAATAAATTACCATTTTTTTTAAAATTAAAAAAAACAACTGGACATGATATATCATTTGTTACCGATACATGATTCAAATTCATTTCATCATTATTGTTTCCTTCAAATGACAATTTACAAATGGGTAACAAAATAAAACTAATTTTTTCTTTTCAAAATTCCTCTTTTATTTATTTTTAAATATTCCCATCATATTAAAACACAATTAATATAAATGAAGAATATTCTTTTCAATAATTTCTCATTAGGTTCTACAATTATAAATCTAAATGAATAATTCAAAAGAAATATGTCCAGCCGCTCCTTTTACCCTGGTCAACTTGTTAATAAACAATTTTATAATATAGTGACATTAAGACATTATATAGGAATAATATATTTGTAAAATCTCAGCGAATGAATTTGTAGTAAATTCAACGTTTCGCCTGGCAATCTGGTCCAAGCTTTTTCAAGGAATTATAATCAAACATCAAAATTATCGAATATAAATAGGTACATTGTTTTCTGGGTTCATTGTACACTGAATAGGTCATTCATAGTGACATTATTTTGATTAATGTTCATATTAAACTTATTTTATCTACACATCTTACCAGTCATTATTATTCTTAATATTATCACACTTGCTAACCTTTTAGAGAAATTTATTCATCACCCACCCCTATTTACTATATCTGACCTAATTCATATTATTCTACATATTACGTAATTTCTGATTTGTAATCCCATTGTTCTATCTCTCACCCCCATGTCAACTATATATATATTCTGATCGTTTATCTTACGATTTTATTACACTTATAAACTGATTCAAGTTAACACTTCATATTAGTCATCCCAAAAACATTAACGATTCGACTTGATTTGATATGACAAACAACATTCCTTGATTCACATGTTACAGTTTCTCTTAAATGATGTACTCTGCCTTAAACTTGACCAATTTTCTTTTGTGAATTATTGATTTGGATGTGATAATTGTAGAACCTTATGAGAAATTATTGAAAACAATATTCTTCCTTCATATAATTGTGTTATAATGATATTTCAAAAAAAATCACAATGAATGAAACTGATAATTTAACTAATTTAATGAATCAAAAGGGGGGGAGGATTGTGGAGATTTTAGTAATTTTAAAGTTGAAATTATTAGGTAGACCACCATGGAAAACCTAGAAGCACTGGACAGCCGTTTTGTCCTATTGTGGGACTCCTTAACAGTGCATATCCACGATCCCGCCTCATGAGATTCGAACTCAGGACCTATCAGTCTTGTGCACGAATGCTTAACCTCTAGAACCACTAATTTGATAAAAAACATTATTCATTACATTTTATTTTACTAATATCCCTTTTATTATTAGTCATTTTTTTTATTTGCTGAGTCATAATGAGTACCTGTTTGTTTTATATTTTTCATTAAACTAATGATTCATACAACTATTGCGATACAACTAATCATGTTCACATGTTCGATTAATATTGCCCTAGACTTTAGGGCATAATCATAGTAATATTTAAGATAGAGATTATAACTTATATGATGTGTCCTATAAATTATTTGCATTATTTTGTGACCCTGAAAGTTAGACATATTTTCTTTAATTGACCAATATACAAAGGATATATACCATAGAGTGTAATATACAAAGAGATGGCAGTGTTGATTCATTCATTCATTCATTTACTTAAAGTTTAGCTGATTCATGTTTAAAGCAACAACAACAAAAAAGAACACATCAAAATAACAACAAAACAATTTACATGACTCATTTTTTTAAACAATAATTTTAACCGCTAAAATCAACTCATAAGTTACCATAGTGTAGTTTACAGATAATTTTTTTCCTCATAAAACTACCGGCACAAAAAAGCAAATAAATTAGCTAGCCTATAGTCATTTTTGGCTTTAGTCAATCGGTCTGAAATCCTTTAGTGATATTTGTCATGTACCGAAAACTCATGAACCCCAGTTCCTGATCAAGTATCTTATTAAATTTATTCAGCTTACATTGTCAATTCAGGACTTTTTTTGTCGACTTTGATCAAAGGAACATTAATAATCAAGAGCATTGAATTGTAGTAGCTTCAAATAAAAAGAAATGTATGAGGAAAGCTGATGTGTTGGTGAGAATGATAATGATTGGTTGTTTTCCTGAGTTAGACATGTAGATAATGTGATAGGTGTTATATGTATTATATATTCACTCCCCTATCCCGATTATTATTGATTAACTGTTCCTTGTTGTTGGATTGTGTCGGATTTTGGTGTGGAAATATATTGACATTCTAGTAAGGCTAATCTCATGTTCTTGATCTGAGTTGTGTTGAAGTCCTGTAGAATAGACACTGGGTGGGAAATCTAGTGTAGATATTCGTCTAAGGTAAATTAACATCCCACATACGTGTAAAAAGTGAAAGGACTGTTATAACAAGAAACCCTAGCGTTATAACAAGTATCCTACCTTTATAACAGATATTATTTCATCATTCATGACGAAAAGTACTATACAAACAGATTCAAATTATCTGATTCATGAAAAGTAGGATAGTTGCATAATGTGAATTGATAATTTCAGTCAGGTTTGATGATCTTTCCTCTATCAAGTTATGTCACAGTTCAGATATCAGAGATAATTATATTATAGCTAGTTTTAAAAATAAATGATCGTTTGCTATTCATGGTTCGAATCTTCGATAACTACTATTTCGTCATAATGGCTCTCTCCACACTACGTAAAAA